CATGGAGAAATGTTTGCTAATCCTATTTTGTGCAGGTGAGATTTGGTTTCAGTATCCACATCTTAGTCTCAGAAATCTCAAGAGAGGAGGTTAATATCCTGGAGCTCAGTGATATGGTAGGAGAAGAATTGTGAAATGTTATTTTCCATCTTATATGCGTGTTTGGGACTGCTTACCAAAACAAGCTGACCTAGGGTACCAGGGCACAGAGGTATAGAAGGCAACGAGGCAGCAGCTCAATTAGCCCGAGAAGGCTCTTCTAGCAGGCTCATTGGCCCAGGCCTTATGTCAAGAAATTGATATCATGGAGCAATTACCCCAAATTAAGGCACACCAACAAATTCATAAAAGGAAGATCCTCCAAATTTACGGAGGTTGCAATCTTAAGAAAGCACATGGAGTGCCTAGGGCTGGAACCAGTCCCCAAGCTTCGGAAGCTTCTGGCTGCAGTGGTATGACTACTACAATAGCTCTTTTGGGGCGCAGTTGTGCAGGCCTTTATAGGCCTTATCAAATCCTCCCAGTGAGTTCACTTCTTCGTTAAAGTTTCCTGTTGCCAAAAAGTTTGTATGGCTGGGGACCCAGCAAAACAACTTGGTATGTCAGTGAATCTTTTTTGGAGTGTTAGTGTTGTTTCAATTTTTTTTCAAAGCTGCGTGGGAGTCTGAAATGATGACAACCCGCTAGGTTTTGTCTATAACGTTTGAAATTATAGGTTATGTGCAAGAATTATTCTACAGTTACCTTTAATTTACACTGATTTCGAGTTAAATTCGATAGATGAAACTACTACACTACTCTGTGGAATTTAAATGTATTTTTATTATTGTGTGGCGGTGTCTTTCTTTGTAGTGTTATAATATTAACATTGTTAAAAGATTGAAATATTTTATACTTTTTAGTAAAGCGTGTTTTTATATTAAATCATAATTAAATTCACTCAGCGTATAACTCATCCCAGCAAAGCAAATAAACAGTCCCGGGAAGAATGGGCATTTGTATTTATAAAAATATGCTAACATCGTATGAATAATTTTGTGGGAAGGACTGGCTGAATGGCAGCCAATATCGTTTTATAAAAGGGCAGTTTTTGCGGTTTTACCGCTCTACCGTTGTCCCTTGACGGAAATTTGATATGCAACCCACCCCGGGTACATCGTTATTCGATTTTTACACGAAGTTTACACGCTTGGTAAAATATAATCCGGGTAAACAAAGCTTTCTACATTCAGCATTCTAATAATATGTGAACCCTTTCAAAATTCATTAAAACCGCGGCGTATTCAGTACAGCGAATATTCATAATCCGCAACAAACTGTATGCAAAGACGTGGCAGTTCGAATAAACAACAATATTGTAGTGGCGTGGCGAGAGATTAACGTTTCGGTGAATGGGCACATCCCAGGGTAGGTGGCAAAGCTTGTTCTCCTTCCACGTTACACACGCTAGACAATGTATCAGTTATCTGGGTTTGTAGCGACGAAGGCAGGATTACTGTAACAGCCCATTTAAGGTTTAACGCTTATTCGGAACATGCAAATCCCGAGGAGAAACAGCCTGCTGAATTGCATTCTTATTGTGAGGTCTCGAGTTGCTATTTACAATTTGTCCTATTGTTGTTGTTTCAAATGTTATTACTAATAACTAAGGCAGTAAACTAGTTTGAAATAAAAAAATCCGCCAACGTCAAAATATGAATTTACTATAATACTTCCCAAAAGTCCCGGGACGGAACTATAACTTTTGAAGAAGAAGAAAAATTGGGGATCACTATGGGATCATAAAAACTACATTCTTAGATAGTTTAGAACTTTCATGCAACGTGGAGTTTTTTACGGGATGACCACCCCAACATTTTAAATAGCAACCCCTGTCGAGTTTCATCCTATTTTAATGTAGTAATGAAAAAAGAAACACATCCCCCAAACCAAAACCCGATATCTTGTTGTAATTGTTTCAAGAATTATGAGGGGTTGACAACCAAATGTGAAAATGAAATATTTTAATGTATTTAATGTTTTTACTGTTTTTTGCACTAAGGAATTTAAAATAAAAAGTAATAATACAAAATATCGATGTCATCAATTGCTGTGTTTAATTTGCGCCTACGTTCTTACTTTTATTATTTAGTTAAACCGAACTTATTTTCTAAAATTTGCTTTAACTCTAAAAATGGCGCAAAAATTTACCGAAAACGAAAGAATTACTCTTTTAATGATTCGTGGCTTTGGGGATAGAACAAGATGTTATGATTAAGTGCGGCATGTCTTCAATGATTTTTTCAACGACCCCCGATTTCTAAATCATCTGTAGAAAGAAATGTTCGAAAATTTCAAGAAGAGGGAACAATGAAAGATCTGGCAGACCGAAATTTGCAACAACTCCAGAAAAAAACGAAGAAGTGTTTTTGTTAGAAGGAGCTTATCTTATTAAAAGCGAGTCAGGTACTTGAAATTAGTATAAGTTCTGTCCACAGAATTTTGAAAATAAAATAACTATTTTCCCTATAAGTTTCACCTAGTTCAGGAATTGAAGGAAGGTGACTTCGATCGAAGGTTGGAATTTTGTTGAAAAATGTGTTGACAGAAATTTTCTTTCGAATGTTGTTTTCTCTGATAAGGCTACTTTTTACTTAAATTTACAATTGTCGTTATTGGGCTGACGAAAATCCACGTCTAATAAGAGAAGATCATACTTAGAGACCGCAGAAAATTAATGTATGGTCTGGTATTATGGGATTCAATGTAATTGGTCCATTTTTTATTAATGGAAATTTGGACGGAGACGGATATCTCCAACTTTTAGAAAATCAAGTGGTTCCAAGTGTACGTGCCTTATGCCCTAATGGCATTGACAATAAGTGGTTCCAACAAGATAGTGCTTCTCCACATTTTAGTCGCGCAGTCCGAGACTTTTTAGGCCGCACGTTTCCAAACCGATGGATTGGTACAAGAGGTGAAATTGAGTGGCCACCACGATCTCCTGATCTAACCCCACTCGATTTTTTTGGGGTTTCTGAAAAGTAAAGTGTATGAAAAAAAAACCAGAATCAATAAATTATTTGGAAAATCGCATACTTGAAGAAACCACTAATATCACTGGGGATATGCTCCTGAAGGTTCAAAATTGCATTTACGAGCGTTTGGGTCATTGCGAGATCGAAAATGGTCGACAATTGGAACATTTGTTATAAAAATCGTAATAAACGTTCAAAAAACATTTTCCCACTTGGTAGTCAACCCCTCATAACTCTTGAAAGAAATAAGATATCGGGTTTTGATTTATGGGGATGTATTTCTTTTTTCACAACCTTTAAAATAAGGTGAAACTCGACAAGGGTTGTTATTTAAAATGTTGGGGTGGTCATCCCCTAAAAAAAACACGTTGCATGGAAGTTCTAAACTATCTAAGAATATAGTTTGTATGATCCCATAGTGGTCCCCAAATTTTCAATTTTTTTTTTCACTTCTTCAAAAGTTATAGGACTTTTGGGAAGCCCTGTATAATGTAATATAATATGTGATGCAGAACAGAAACTCTAATGAGTATTATATGTGCAGATTTCGCTCATTTGATTGCTATTAGTACGTACCTTATGTATAAATTTCTCAATCTGGAATTACATCGAAATATTAAATAATTATACGAGGACATTAAATATTTAAAAGGAATAATTTCAAAAACCATTTGTAATTTAATATTTTGGCTAAGTTAAAGCATAAGTGGGTAGACTTCGGGGGAAAACAGGATACGCCTTCTTGATACCCGATATGTTTCGATAGGATGAATTATTATTGGCAATATTCCCATGCCAAAATTGGCCGAAAGATTACTGCAAGAAATATTTTCTTATCTATACGATATTGTTGTCGATATAGCGGATGACTGCTTTATCATCGGACCCTTCAAGACTCGAAAACACGACATATTGTGCCACAAACAGCAAATCTGTATTATACGAATTGTTTTATTATAAAACAAACCTTCCATATTTAATACGTTCTTTGACAAACATTTTGGACACTTCTAGTATACTAGTTAATCGAATTGTAAATAATACAAGTCATTTGTGAAAATGGAGTGTTATTGAAATCGATCAGTCTGACTTCATTGTTCGCTTAGGTAATCAACATTCAAATAAGCCTTATCCTTTCCATCCACATCATCCCTAATCATCTTTGCCACACTTTCTCCACTCTCTCCATTGTTGCCAACCCAGTTTTCCGTTTAGTTCCGAGTCTGTGATCTCCAACAATCCTTAACCGAGTCCCTCTCTCACACATTCTACATCCTCGATATGCATTGTTCGCGACTCCATTGTATGTGGCAGGTGAGCCAGTCGTATGAATTATTTCGAGAGGCGAGAAATAGCCGATGTACGCGGGCCTTTGAATTTCCAACAGTTTACACAATTTACAAGAACCATTACTGTTAAAATTCCCCAGCTAAAAAGGCCCCCGTATTCTTCAGATTTGGCCCCCTGTGACCGACTCAATATTAAGTTATCTACCTTCTGCCTGCTAGTTCAACCAACTTGCTTATTTTATTTATTCTGTGGAAATACTCTCCGGACTTATCAGCACGCTCCTAGGAAGCACTTTGTACAAATGTGAAAAAAATAAGTATGCCGAACAAAGAACTTTTTAGGCCATTAAATCGAACTCGACAAAATCGTATGTCTTTTAGATGTTTGTAAAACATAAGCTACAGAAAATAAATTGCGAACTTGCAATATTCGAGAAAAACAGTTGTTGGAGTGTACTTGACTTGTATTGTTCGCTCAGTAATTTCTTCAAGTGTACCCACTATAAAGCCTTGCCCCAATACTGTATTGTGTTGTAATGCTTTTAATTCGAAATCTTTGAAAATAAAAAGAATCTTAATCAGAAACTGCAAGAAAGAATCTAAATAATTTTCCGTTAAGTAGTGGATTAAAAAATTCAACCACAACTTAATGACAAAAACAATTTTATAAAAAATATTTCCTTAACTTATTTCACACATGGTTCGAGAGAGTCTCCATGATGGTAATCCTTTTGAACTGCGTCACCTTGGGAATGTACCAACCATGTACTGATGGCATCATCGAAGAGGGCCAAGAGGCTGGAGACTGCAAATCCAATAGATGTCTTATCTTACAGGTAAAAAAAATATTTAGGAACTTTAAGACCTGTTCTATACGAAGATGAAAGTCCATCAGGTTAACCTTTAACCACTTAACTCTTCCTCTTTTTTCAGAGGTTCGATGAGTTCATTTTTGCGTTCTTCTCCCTCGAGATGACGATCAAAATGATAGCCATGGGCGTGTGGGGTCGAGGGGCGTATCTGGCGGATTCGTGGAACAGGCTGGACCTGTTTATCGTCTTGGCCGGGGCTGTCGAGTATGGGCTGCCGAATTTCAACAACATCAATTTGTCGCCAGTCAGAACGATCAGAGTGCTAAGACCGTTGAGGGCCATCAACAGAATACCAAGTAAGTAATTGTCAAGAAAAAATATATGTGATGATTCAAGATCGTATCCTTATTCATATCCATATTATATAGCTGAAAAATGTACATATGAGTATAATATGTTTCCATTAAATAACATTTAAGTTTTTCAAGGAACTTTATAAGCCCATACATCTCTAAATTAAAGTGATATTTTATGTATCCACATAAATTGATGGCGACCGCTTAAAAACTAATTATCTAATAGCATACCCGCAAATTGCTTGCAATAAATTTCCAATCAATTTATATTAATGACTTTGTTTTAATTAGATGCAGAGCATGTAAGTACCGCTTAGGGATGTAGGTCAGACTGTTCAAATAGACCAATTGAATTTTTATCAACTGACACATCCTTAGCAATTTGTCCTGTAGTTTATAGTATAAACTTTATAAATTATACTGAGGCTCTGTTCAAACATAGTTTTGCTAAAGTAAACATCACAACTTGTAAGGGGTAGCTGGAGCTTATAAAACGTATTTGATGTATGATACAATTATTTATTCAGTCTGGTGTAAGGTTGGAAGTTTCACCTAAATTTGTAATACGATAAGATACCTTAGCTTATTCAAATAAAACCATATTGTTTAAACTTATGATGTAGGATATTTAACGTCAAAAAGTTTTGAATAAAGGAAGAATTAGAACATGGTACAGGTTTTTCGTATTTTTGACGCCTTTCTTTATAACTTGGGCTTCGCAGGCTTTGATTTTGCATAGAAAAAAACCGAATGTCTTAATACGATAGGTTTTAAACGGTTCAGAAGAGCATGAGGTCGCAGAGGTTTCACCCAACAGTGCATTTTTAATACGCCATATAGTATGTGACGTACAAAGTACAAATTACAGTTACCTGTAACGTCAACAACGCCATCTAGTACGTAGCGTCTACAAATTACCTGTAGAAAGTGTTAATTTTATTCTACAAAATTTTTAAAATTCTAAATTTCAAAATCTACATTTCAAACTTTATTTAAACTTTTTACAAATTGTAAAACCGCAAAATTGCTAAACTTTAGGGATTAAAATTTTTAAGAAACTAATGAAACTAAAAAAAACATAAAGAAACTAGAAAAAGCAGAGAAAGTAGGAAACTAAATAAACTAAAGGACCTAAAGGAACTAAAGAACTTAAAGGAACCAAAGAACTTTAAAGAATAAAGAAACTAGAAAAAGCAGAGAATGTGGGGAAACTATATAAACTAAAGAAACTAAAGAAACTAAAGAAACTAAATAAACTAAAGAAACTAAAGAAACTAAAGAAACTAAAGAAACTAAAGAAACTAAATAAACTAAAGAAACTAAAGAAACTAAAGAAACTAAAGAAACTAAAGAAACTAAAGAAACTAAAGAAACTAAAGAAACTAAAGAAACTAAAGAAACTAAAGAAACTAAAGAAACTAAAGAAACTAAAGAAACTAAAGAAACTAAAGAAACTAAAGAAACTAAAGAAACTAAAAGAAACTAAAGAAACTAAAGAAACTAAATAAACTAAAGAAACTAAAGAAACTAAAGAAACTAAAGAAACTAAAGAAACTAAAGAAACTAAAGAAACTAAAGAAACTAAAGAAACTAAAGAAACTAAAGAAACTAAAGAAACTAAAGAAACTAAAGAAACTAAAGAAACTAAAGAAACTAAAGAAACTAAAGAAACTAAAGAAACTAAAGAAACTAAAGAAACTAAAGAAACTAAAGAAACTAAAGAAACTAAAGAAACTAAAAAAAAAAGAAAATTGTGCAATTTATTTTACAAATTATTTTAAAATGTTTTACAAAATTGAAAGAATTTTAAGACACAAATTTTTAAGATTTTTTTAAGATTTATTTTTTTTACGTAATCTTCAAAATTTTAAAACCTAAATTACAATGTTTTTAAAATTTATAATAATACCGAACGCTTTCAATAAGAAACTGAAAAAATGATTTTTTATAAAATTGACAGCAAAACTTTCTTTAAAGCACATTCATTTTTCACCCAAGAGCGTTTGCCAAAATAAATCTGTAAAATCGCGTACAAAACGAAGAAAATTTAATATACCTACACAACAATAAGAGCTTTGGAATACGATTGAACATGAAAATTCACTTATATCGGCTTTTTTATATGCTTTTCTTGTCTTGTACGTAAGTCGTGACATAAAATAATATATGTAAAAGCATGTTAAAAAATACATTCTTTTATAGCGCATATTGGATCGGAAAAAAGTCGCTTAAAATAAAAATCCATGTCCATATTTTCGTTCAAACTATATCGACTCCATAGCTTTAAAACTGTATACATTCGGTAAAAAATTGGGTCCATAAAGCATAAGAATTTCCCCAATTGAAAGCTTGCTCATTATTAAAACTGCGGTGGGCTGAAATTTAAATAATCCGGGGATTAATCCTAAAACAAAAGGTGTGCTGACATTTTCAGTGTTCTTGGAAATATCTGCGAAATTATTCGCGATTGCAGTAGGCTGCGCAAGCCTGCTAATAGCTTCGATTCAAGATGACGAGAGATTAAGGAACAATTGAACAAGCTAAAGCGTAAGGAGCAAATTTAATCCGATTTTTTTATCTTTGTCTTCTCTTATTTTCCACAGTAGGCAGTAAACGCAGATACTAATTTTATACGAAGTGAATAGCAATTAAAAAATGTTTGCTAATTTATTAATTAGTAATTTAGTAATTAAGACCTAAGGCAATTTATTGATCATTTATTTAATTAACAAGTTCCTAAACTAAGGAATCTAAAGAAAGTAGAGGACTAGAGGAACTAGAAGAATAATAATAATAAACTAGAAAAACTAAAGAAACTAAAGAATTGCAATTTAAGAAAGTAGAGAAACTAGAGAAACTAAATAAACTTAAAAGACTAAAGAAACTAGAGAAACTTAAAAACTAAAGAAATTTATGATAATAAAGAAATTAAAGAATCTAAATAAACTAGAGGACTAGAAAAACTAGATGAATAATATTAAAAAATTAGAGAAACTATAAAAACTAAGGAAACTTATTTTAATTTTAAATTTGAATCAATTCTCGATCAAGATTTGTAAGTCAACAAAATTTCTAGGTATAACGCTAGATCCACATTTGAGGTGGGACTCCGAAGTGCAAAATATTACAAGAAAATTAAGATTTACTATTTTAAATTACTTAAACCAAGTTTATCCCACAACTACATACGGTTTATGATGCACTTGTGGAGTCGCACTTAAGGTACGGTATCTTAGGCTGGGGTGGTGTGTACAAATCACAACTAAGAGATTTGGAAGTGGCTCAAAAAAGAATATTAAAGATTATTCAAGGGGTAGAAATAACTTTCCCTACGGATGACCTGTTTCAGGAGTCAAGAAAAATGGATTGTAGACAGTTATATTATTTAAACCTTTTATTGCATATGTTTTATGAAAAAAAGTTTTATCCGAAATCGGCAGTAAAGTAGTCAACAATCGCCAGTAAAGTAAAAGAAATCGGCAGTAAAGTAGAACTTTACTGTTGATTTAATACGAGTATCATATGCAACCCATTATACATTTAAAAATGTGTCTACTGCTCCTCAGCAGCAACTAAATAATATTTTTAAAAAAAGCACCGTCGCGGAGGTCGATTGGACTCTTTCATAAAATGTTGTTTAATAAAAATAATAAGTTAATTTTATTAATTAGATTAAAAATCGCCGCGGCGGGCAAATATATAATAACCGTCGCAACAAACAGTATACGTAGACACTTCCTACAATCAAATGACATTTGAATTGATCCTCAAATGACATTTGATTTAATCATCAGTATTAATTATTAGTATTATTAAATGTGATTTCGGATAAAATTTAACCACTCACGTGGTTATTTGCGTCGGCTTTCGACTCGTCAAATAATTTCCACATTCGTGATAAAAAAATACGACTTTACTGCCTTGATACATAAATAACTATTAAATTATTTAACACCAGAAGTTGCAACTACTTACCTATTCCAAAAATGAAAAAAACTATATGCCAACGTTGTCTTACCTATTTGGGCCCAAAAGTTTATAATAACCTACCTGGTATAAAAATACCAATAGATAGTTTACTGATAATCAAATTGATCTTAAAAATACATATTAAATAACTTAAATTATGCATATTTTAATTTGTCCAAACCAACTCAATTAGTGTTATTAAATTATTTAATTAAGTGTACAAGTTTTTAATCTAAATACTTTTTTATTTTATTTTATGTTTATTAAATATTACTAACCTTTATAAAATATAACTTATTATTATTGTTATTTATGTTTCTATTTCTATGCACGCACAAATGTTTAATTACATTTAATTAAGTGTTTTAGCATATTTATTGATTTTAATGTAACTTGCAATCGATGTTATTTTCTCCGCCAATCAATAAATATTTTTATTATTATTATTATTATTATGATACTAAAGAAACGAAAAAAAAAGAAACTAAAGAAAATAGAGAAAGTAGAAAAAGTAAACAAAGTAAAGAAACTAAAGGAATAATAATAAACTAGAATAAATAAAGAAACTAAAGAAACTAGTGGAACTAGAGAAACTAAAAAAACGAAAGCAATTAGAGAAACTAAAAAAACTGAAGAAACTTATGATACCAAAGAAACTAAAAAACTAAAGAAATTAAAGAAACTAGAGGACTAGAGGAACTATAGAAACTAGAAAAACTAAAGAAACTGAAGAAACTTATAATACTAAAGAAACTACCTATATAAACTAAAGAAAATAAAGAAACCAGAGTAATGAAAGTGGAGAAACTAAATGAACTAGAGGAACTACAATGCCCTACTATGGAGAAAGGCAGTAACTGCTAAACAAGAAATTTGTGGAAAATTAACATAAACTACATTTTTATAAAAACCAGTATTTAATTGATTTTTTAACTTATGATATATTTGACTGCATTTTTGTGTTGAATTTGGTTACAAAATGTCCATATCTTTACCATAGCACATTTTTTGCAGTTACTGCCTTTCTCCAT